CATTATTTGAGACAGGGTTCCTCACTGTACCTGGAGCTCACCAGTTCCACAACACTATCTGACCAGCAAGCCCCAAGGACCTTCTTTGGTGTTTCTCCAGGACTAGGGTTATAAGCATGTATCGCCATGGGTAGCTTTTTACATGGTGCTGGGGATTTGAACTCAGGTTCTCATGTTTGTGCAGCAAGCCCTTAACTAGCTGAGCCATCATTGCTGTTTACATTTTTATTACTGCAAGTTAATGGTACAAGGTGATGATCTCACTGGAAATGATTTATTATTCATTATGTATATGGGTGCTTTGTCTGCATGTATGCACACCAGAAGAGGGCATCGGATCCCATGAGACTGTAGTCATAGATGGTTGTGAGCCACCATGTGGGTGCTGGGAATTGAATTTGGGACCTCTGGAAGAGCAGTCAGTGCTCTTAACTGCTGAGCCATCTCTCCAACCATGGAAATAACTTCTTGATATTGTATATTTGCAGATATACACCCAGGGATGGCTTTCTTACAATTTTCTAGTAATAATTCCTATTTGATTTAACCCCCATCCTTCCTAGGAAGAACAAAGATACCGTAAGCTTAGAGAGAAGAAATAAACTTACTACTGGCCAACAATGTGTCATTCTTGTGGAGCTTCAAGAATAGTGGAGGAACTTCTCCTTTTGCATTCAGTGGTCTTTGAAAATAGTTTTTGTCACAAGATGTTTTTATTCTCCTTGAAATGTTATGTTACTAGAGCACAAAATATTATTCATCTACTATCTACCACTCTACTCATAACAGTACATTTGGGCTTATCTACAGTGTCACCTTCCCTGAGCACGAGTATTTAAAATTGTTCATAGTTGGCTACTGGAATCAGGAAAAGCTGAAGATAACCACTGTTGGAATTCTGCCCTTGCCCAGCTGCATAACTGCACATGCGCAGTCCAGGAGTAAGCAAAAGGTCTTGTGTCTTACATCATCAGTGTGTGCTGGCGACTATGTGTACGTGGTATGGTCATGTAATCAGCGCATGCGTGGTGTAGCTCCATACTGGGAGCCCTTAAAAGCTGGACGCAGACCCCACCCTCCCTCTCTGCTCTGCTCCCTCTCCCCCCACCCCACCATCTTTCTCTCTCTTTCCTCTCCAGGCCTGGCTCTCCTCTCTCCCCTGCCCTCCCTTTCCTCCTAATAAAGCTCTGAATACTGATACTGGGTTTCGTCGTGACTGTGACCTTTCCGCCAGTAACCAGAGCCACCACCAGCACCACTTAACATTCATTTCAACCACTGAGACAGAGTGACAGCCATAAGAAACCTTGGACTTAGCACCAGCAAGATTTATAGCATGAGCTAGTACATTTGCCCCATTACCATTTATATGTTAACCAGGGAAAGGGACTTGGTCCCTAAGTCTTTGTTTCTTTGTTTATAAAGTGAGTCACCATGACCTTAGTTGTCTGCCTTAGGGACACCTGATTGTTAATACTGGTAGTACCCCAGTGAACTGTACCTGGCATTGGTAGTCTCAAGAATTCCCTCCTACAGTGACTCTGGGCCATATGGTTTGGCCCATTGAACATTATTAAGCAGAGCCTTAAAAACCATTTGTATATTAGGTGTGGTCTTGGAATAGGTATTGTAGCCATAAGCACTCTGTAAAGGGGTTTCTCCAATTACTGGAGGAACTGAGGGAAGTGAAAGACGGCCGGCTGTCATTGTTTTTTGCAACACGGGTGTGTGGCTTCATGTGGATCCATGCAAAGAACACTCAGGGCCACCTTAAGAATGAATTTAGCCTTTGGCGGCTTTGGGGGGGGGGGGGTGGGTCCAGCCTCGAAGGAATGAAGCACTTGCCCTTTGCCTAGGGCATTTTTATTTCTATTTACAATTTAGCCAGTTAATTTCTTACCTTCAAAGCAACCTGAAAGGAGGTCCTAGAGATAAAATGCCAAGTGCAAATTCCTTGATTTCTCAGGAACCACCGTTTTCCAGGTTTCCTGAACTAAGTTTTCCATAGGCCTTTGATCCTTGGGAGACTCTCAGACAAGACTCACATAGGGCAATAAGAGAAACAAAAGGTGTGGGTTAAACAAAGGAAGGATTAGGGCTAGGTGCTACTCTCTGGAGCCAGGCCAAGCGTAACTCAGCAGGAATGCAGCCACAGCTGGCAAAACAACAAAAACAAAGCCAAAAACATGCAACCAGCAGCACTCTGAGTGATGTGGGGCAGCGTACTACACACAGCCTTTGCAAAAACACCCAGCTGAGTGAGTCAAAGTTGGGGGATAACAAGTGTTTTAAGCCATTAAATTAGAAAGTGGTTTACCATATAGCAGAGTTCCATGTTGTGTCAGATATCCTGAAAGAATACTCTGAGTAATTAAGTTGATGATTTCTCAGAGCCAGATTTCCTATTATTAGCTTGACATTTAGGGTTCTAGAATACACTGGTTAAGGGGACAGAGATGTGGGTTTCAGTTCTCCAAGGGATAAAGTGAACAAACAAAGAAACGGCTGAGAAAGAAAGCACAGAGCTGCCGGTCTGTCTTTTTCTGGGAACTCCATTTGGCCTTTATGAGCAATCCACTCGGAATAGGCTAGCTTGGGGCTGGGGAGATGACCCAGTCAGTCAAGCGCTGCTCACACATGGGGACCTCAGTTTAATCCCCAGCACCCACGCAATCATTGAGGGCTGCAGTGCTGGGGAGATGGAGACAGAGGATCCCTAGGGCTTGCTGGCCAGCCAATCTTGTCCAAATTGGTGAGCTCCAGGTTCAGTGAGAGACCCTGTCTCAAAAGCTAAGGTGAAGGGTGGTTGAGGAAGACATTCAACTTAGACCTCTGGTCTGCACACATACTGATACACAAACACATACACACAGAGGCGCACAAAGAATAAGTTAGACTGTGATGCTGTGGTGAACAATCCTAATATTTTACCATTTAAAACCATAAAGGTCTGTTTCTCATGCATGTCTATCTACACGCATGAGAAACTATAAGTGTTTTAATGGTACAGATGAGTGTATCATGGTTGTCTACATCATGACTGGAATTGCCAGTCTACTACAGGGAAAAGAAATGCTAAAGATTACTCTTTAAAACTTGTTTGGGGGTTTTACCAAACAAAGCATCACATGTATGTGTCTAAAATTTAAAGGGGAAAATTAGTGTAATTGCTATGCCAGGAGGAAAGAAATAAAACAAATTTTAAAATGTTAAGATTTATTTTAGTAATTACTTACATGTATATGTGCATGAATGTATGTTCACACATGCATGTTGGTACTCAGAGAGACAAAAGAGGGAATCAGATCCCCTGGAGTTAAAGGTAGAGATGAGCTGCCTGACATTGGTGTTCAAACTGAACCCAGGTCCTCTGGAACAGCAGGTGTCTGTAACCACTGAGCCATCTCCCCAACCCCCTAAAACATTTTAAATGATTTCTAACAAGCATGAGCAAACACCAAGCCCTCAACTCACTTCCTATAAGGCTGGGTATCTGATGCTTTGACACACCTTGGCATATGATCTTCCCCTCCAGGCACTTCCACCATGCTGAAACTGTCAGGATGAAGAGTTTAGTGAATACACTTTGCAAAACGATGTGCAAATGTACAAATAAGCTTGTGTATCCCTATCTTTCAGACTTCACATTGATCGCTGCATACACTCTTAGAGCTGCACACAGTGATACAAGGAATATTGGCACAGAAACAGAAGAACAGGGAGATGGCAACAGAACTTCAGAACTTGTGACTAAAGACATTAAATAACATTTGGAATTCATAATGAGACAGTTCTTTGCGTCCCGGGTCTCAGCTTAAGATGGAAGTACAGCAGGGCAAGAGCACTGTTGAGTCATGGTCAGTTTCCCCATTTTCTGTCCTTAGTCTTATGTCTTTGGCTTCACCTGTTGAATGTGAAACCTTGCAAGTGTACAGTCTATGCTTTGCTTTTAATAGTATATAAAGATTCTATATCCTAGGTTTAATATTTTTTGTTTTGTTTTAGGAGAGGTCTTGTTGGATAACCCAGAATGGTATCGAATTCACTATGTATACAAGTCTAGCAGTGATCCTCCTGCCTCAGCCTACTGAATGCTAGGATCATAGGCATGTGCCTTATATTTAATATTTTTAAAGGGAACCTGATCTAACTTTCCACTAAGATGGTTTGATGTGGATCTTTAGGTAGAGAAAGTGGAAGCCTATGAGGTTTAAAGTATTCTGGGGTTAGTTGTGCAGCATATGATCCTAGAAATAAGGAGGTCTGAATTTGAACCTGGATTTCTCAATTCTAGAAAAAAAAAAAAAAAAACAACCTGGACTCATCTCAACTTAATGCACTGGGATAAGTATTTAACGTTTCTGAGGCTCAGCTTCCTTCTCTCTCTAATACTGATAACTACGATAATTACACCACAGAGTTAGAATTAAATGAGAACAAAGTCACCCTTCTGTACTCGAAGATTCCATACCTACGGATTCGATCTATCACTGATTGGGGAGGAGTGTATATATGTACATTTTTCCTTTCTTATTTCCAAAATAATGCAGTAGAACAACTATTTCTGTAGCGTTTACTTTATATCCGGTATTAAAAGTAATCTAGAGGTAATTTAAGCAATATAGGAGAGGTGTGTAGATTGTATAAAAATGCTGCACCATTTGACATAAGGAATTCGACCATCAAGGGCATCCTCGGGCGTCCTGGAACTCCCTTCCCGCCCTTCTTCTACTGAGGAGCTGTGTGCCTGAGGATCTTTTACCGCATTACCTGTCTCCAAGCAATTGATGCATTAATACCGCAAAAGGTGCTTCTTGTAACAGAACCTCGAAAAACACCGTGCCCCGTCTCCTACTTTCTTGATATTTTCCCCATCGTGTCATAGAGAATGTTTCTTGCAACAGGGTGCGCAAAATGTTGGGCCCACTGCACAGACTTCACTCACACAGGAAAGCCTCAAAAAGCGGGTTCCCGAGCTCTCAGAGCTGCGCCTGCGCGGTTGCCCTCCCTCGCGCCTGCGCACGAGCCCGCGCGCCCTCTAGGACTTACCCAGAAGGCGCGGTGCGCTCCCGGGTCAGAATGCCGGCCGGCCTCACGGTAAGTGACTGGCTCCTCCTTGGTGGGTATCCAGGGCCGGGTTTGTGTCCCCAGGCTCCCTTCTGCTCGGGCTAAGGAGTCAGCCCTGCGCGTAAGGGCCGTGGCGGCCCAGTCCGGCGACAAGGACAGGTTCGCTGAGCCATGCCCGGCCTGGGCAGCCCGAGGCTTGGTGCTCTGCGGGGGAGCCCGCCGTGGCTGGGCCTGAGTTCGGCCTCCTTCCCCTCGGCCTTAGGGGAAGTGAAGGGAGTGGATGTCTGCCGCGGTGGGCTGCGGAGCATCTGGAGTCAGACGCCATCCTCTGCAGTAGCTACCTACACCCTACCGCTGGTCTTTCTCTTTCACGCTGGGGACGGTGGTCGGAGCAAATAGCAGTTGAGCCCGCATTCCGCCCCTCGAGCTTCTTTCAGAATCCAGGGAGATAATATACAGTGAGGTTTCAGTTTAACCTTGGTGTGTCTGGACCGTGAGCTGGAGCTGCAGAGCTGGAAGGATTTTTATTTACTGTATGCTCTCGAGCTGGAGCTGCAGAGCTGGAAGGATTTTTATTTACTGTATGCTCTCGAGCTGGAGCTGCAGAGCTGGAAGGATTTTTATTTACTGTATGCACGCGAGCTGGAGCTGTAGAGGTGGAAGGATCTCTATCAAACGTATGCAGTAGAACAAATTGGTCATGGGATAGAATGTCAGAATATGTTAAAGTTCACTTCAAGTAGTAGTCCCCCGTCCCCTATAGTTAAAGCTAATTTCTGCCCTCTGGCGGTATAAATTGGAATAGCCTTTAAAAAACAATACTGATCCCCCTTCTCGGAGTCCCCAGAAATTGTGAAATTATTAATTTCACCCGCTTGACAAGTTCTTAAGGGACCTTACTAAATATAAGGGATTCTGCTTCGGTGTTTTTGTTTGGTATTAGAGACTTGATTTCAACAGAGCTCGAATTGGCTCCATTCTATAAGCCTGCTTCCTTTTCTGCAATAGGTTTTTAACCCAGCACATGTGGAAAGGGTGAGCGGAGTAGTGCCTGGCACATTCTAAGTGTTAGGTGAATGTTAACCGTTACCATAATTACTGCTCATCGTGTTTACAGTTTATCTCCTACACATTTGTTTTTAGATTTCTTTTTAACTCTTTTATATTTGTATTATTTTTTGAGCCAGGATGTCATGTAGGCCACGCTGGTTTTGTATTGGCTTTGTATTGAAGGATGACCCTGAACTTCGGATCCTTTTGTCTCTCCCCTCAGAATGCTGGAATTGCAGGTGTGCACCACCACACCCATTTTATGTGCTGCTAGAGATGGAACCCAGAGCTTTGTGCATGCTAGGTGGTCACTGTACCACCCACCGGAGCTCCATCAGTAGCTTGTTACGATTTTAATTCTCTTAAAAACAATTTCACACACGACACTTAATTTTTAAAGTTGGAGGAAGCCATGTAGCAATCTGTACTAAGGAATAGGAAGGAAGAGAATTTGCCTCAGAAAACTAAACGGAAAAAAAAAAAGCCTGCAGTCCTAGTCCATGCTTTTAACCCCAGTGCTGGAGAGGTGGAGACAGGTGAATCCCTGGGGCCCAGCCTAGGGGACTTTGACAGGGATAGGGACAACATCAACAACAGAGAGCCAGAAATGAAAAAAGGAGCTAACATCCTCTGGCAGTCACACCTGCACTCCCCCACCCTTCACATTTTAAGAAGAAGGCTTAGGCTTGCTCCACTTCTTTGCCTGTACCACATCTGTCCTGTCAACACCAGGCACTGTCCTGCTTCCTTGGCCTCCTCTAGGTTACCCCTCTTGGGCTCAGACTTGTTTCCGATACTTGTGAGATGCTTTTGTTTTGTTTTTGCTTAGGGTATTTTGCATGCTTAGGCATGAACTTTAAGGCTGAGCTGCATTCCCAGCCCCTATTTATTATTATTATTATTAATTATTATTATTATTATTATTTGTTTAGCTAAGGCCTGGAATTCACACTCTTACTGTGTCAGCTTCTTGAGTGCTGAGATTACAGGCATGCTCTGTTAAAACGGAGTGGATTTCTTTATCCATGTTCAAATACCAATTCTTTGATGGGTAGTTAGCTGTTGGGAGGAGGAGAATAGGCTTCTTTTTATTAATTTATTAATATTTAAATGATAACTGATGCTATAAAAGTTTTTCCAGAAATAAGTATATTTTAAAGATGGACTAAAAATTTTGGAGATTAGAAGTTTGCCACCTAACCTGATTCTCTCATAGCTCCACTCACTTTGAAAAGAAAAATTTATTTCTGCAACTACAAATGATAGAAATGTTCCAAGTCCCTTTCCTGCCCCTTTCAGTTCTGATGATAGCAAGTGATGTAAGGCAGAGGGCCTGAGCTTTGAGAACCTGAAGTGGTAGAAGTATTCCTGTGAATATTGGGCACTTTTAGTTTTGAGCTCACGATTTTCTCCCATGACGCCATAGGTGAAATGATTATCTACATTGTATACGAAGGGAAATTGCTTCTTAGGTTTATAAGAGTACTAGCTATTTGCCTATCAATGCATTCAACTAATATAAGTGGATTGTAGCAACTGACAGTGGGTAATTACAGTTGCAGTGTCAAGCAAGTGCTGGATCATTTTTTGAAATGATATCATAATGCTGCAGGATTCAATAAACAACAGACTGGGTGAGGATCTGTTTTCTGTCATCCTCTTCCTCTCCTTGTTCTTCCCAAATGTAGTACTTTAAAGAATTCTTTTAGTTCGAAAAAGATGTTTTATTTTGTGTTTCTGTGAATCATATTTAAAATTAAACTATTTTATTGTTAAGTTTGTGTTCTTTGACAAGAGGCTACAGTCCTAAATGTTTGCTCTTAACATCTTTATGGGATCTGTGAGCTTTCTAATTTGCATAAACTTCACTTTGTAGTCTAGAAACTGAATGAAAGCATCAGTAAGTCTTAGGGGCCCTTACAATAATTTTAGGTTCTTTACGTCTTTTAAGAAATATTTAATCATTTTCATATATACCAGGGTGTGCTTGTGAAGGTCAGAGGAGGGCTTCTGGGAGTCCTTCCTCTGTGGGGTCCAGGGGTCACACTTGGGGCATTAGACTCAGGCAACAAGTGCCTTCCCCTGCCAAGCCGTCTCACTGTTTCTAGTTACTTTAATACCTTGATCTCAGGTCAGAAGAGATGTGGCCCACTCATGTTTCCAAGGACAAGATGCATATTTTAAATATTTTCTGAGTTGGTTCAAGTGAAATAGTGATTTTTGTCATAGTGGCTTTAAAAGGCCCATATACTGCTTCAAGAAATAATTGGGGTGTGAAATGCTTTTGGTTTCCATCTTACCTAATGACTTGAACTCTTGGTGCTTTTTCCACCAAGTCTTGAGTTGTAAGTCATAAAGATATTTTGCTCATTAGAAAAGCAAAGTCCTGGGTGAAGGAGATGGCTTAGTGAGCCACACATCAGAACTGATGGCCTGAGTTCAGAACCCAAGCTGACACAGTAGTGCAAGCATGCATATGAAGGTACACATGCATGCATGCGCGTACACACATGTGAAAAACTCCTACCAGGTATGGTGAGTTATACCTGTGATTTTAGCAGTGAGGAAACAGAGGCAAGAAGATGGTAATTTCAAGACAGTTATGAGTCTGGGGCCAGGTGGGCAGAAACAAATGAATCTCTTGAGTTCAAGGCCAGCCTGGTCTGCATAGTGAGTTCAAGGCTAGCCAGGGATGCATAGACCCTGTCTCAAAGGTTTAAATAACATCATAAAAACAAACAACAAACACTGTTTTTTGAGATAGCTCTTTAATCTGGTTATCTGTTCCTTTCACAGGGTTAATGTGAGATCATACAGCATCTGAGACTGAAGATGTGAACGAAGCCATAAGAAGGCTTCCTGGCCTTCTAAACAGCAGACTGTTTAGCATTGAGAGAGCCCTGGACCCAACTGAGGCATCAGATCTTGCCTAAGGAGCAGTGGACAAAATATGAGGAGTTAGAACAGGTTTGATATGTCTAGCAATGTTGGCCACTCAGGCTACAGTGTCAGAAACAGAGACACACTCATTTGGGCAGTACATTTGTGTTCTCCAAGTCACACCACATAAGTAGCATTTCAGTAGCAGAAACTGTCAGCTCTATTTTAAAGAAGAATATGGTGATTTGGAGCTGAAGTGACTTCTAAAGCTTGTCTCTAGTATGGGAGGCCTGTAGCTGGAGAATTTTTCTGCAGCTCCCACCACCAAGTCCCGCCAGTCCCGGAGCCCACTTATAAAATAAACACACAGACTCTTACATTATTTAAACTGCTTGGCCATTAGCTCAGGCCTATCATTGTCTAGCTCTCACTCTTATATTCAGCCCATTTCTATTAATCTTTACTTTGCCACGTGGCTCATGGCTTACCGGTACTTTACATCTTCCTTGTCTTGGCGGTGGCTCCAGCTGGTCTCCCTTTCCTTCCTCCTTCCTCAATTCTCCTCTCTCCTTGTCCCGCCTATACTTCCTGCCTGGTCACTGGCCAATCAGTGCTTTATTTATATAGAGCAATATCCACAGCACTTCCCCTTTTTTTCTTTTTCAAAAAGGAAGGTTTTAACTTAAACATAGTAATATTACATATAACAAAATAATTATCGAGTAAGAATTATAGTTACAATATAAAAGAAGATATCGATCTTATATTTGTGAGTTTAAGGTTTTATATCTAACTTATCTTTTATCATAACTAAGGAAAATTGTAAGTATCTAGTCTTTAACCACATCAAAGACCTCAGAAGGATATAATACTACCTGAGAAATGGGAGAAGGATGCAAGCAACTTTCGGGAGTCTTGTAGGGTAGACAGAGACAGCTGACAGCTTAGACAGTCATTCAAAGTTCTCTTGTAAAGTTGGGGCATCAGTCTTCAGCCCGCAGGCCTAGAGTCTCTCATTCACTTTTTTTTTGTGTCCTGTAGAATGTCTTGCAGTTTTTTCTGTAAATCAGGAACCTGAAGGACCATTTTGTCAAGCAAAGTTCAGTGGTTACCTTTCTATGGGTCCTGTATGTCAAGTTGATCAAGAAGTCCAGGCAAGAACAGTTTCTTGTCCAAATGGCTATTTTTGTCAAGGTGAAGATAAACTCCATATGGAGTGTCTTTGATGACCATACTCTTCTCTGAAGTAAATTGGTGCTGTCAGGAGCAGACGTGTCTCACTGTCCAGAAAGTCTAAATTTTTAAAACATTTTAAATGCCATATTCTGTAGGTCTTTGAAGTGTTTGAAGACTACCTGTCTATCTGAAATATATCTATGTATACCTAGAAGACTTAACCAACATGGCTACAAATATGATTATCATAGATGACTAATTATTAATCTATTTTTAATTATCCATTACAATTTTAAATGAGTTACATAAACATAATACCTCACACAAGAATAGAAATATATATACAGTATAACAAAATTAAGTTTAAATTTGTATCAATAAACTAAAATCTATAGCAATGTAAAACATTTTAAGCTCAGGCCTATCATTGTCTAGCTCTCACTCTTATATTCAGCCCATTTCTATTAATCTATACTTTGCCACGTGGCTCGTGGCTTACCGGTACTTTACATCTTCCTTGTCCTGGCGGTGGCTCCAGCTGGTCTCTCCTTCCTTCCTCCTTCCTCAATTCTCCTCTCTCCTTGTCCTGCCTATACTTCCTGCCTGGTCACTGGCCAATCAGTGCTTTATTTATATAGAGCAATATCCACAGCAAAGGCCTGAGCTAGAATCCAGGATTTCTGCCTCATGGGCCACTATTGTCTTCCTGTCCTCTGGTTGCTGCTCTAATGCAGAGTTTTAGATCTGTGAAGTCCACTTAGTGATCTTCTAGCTTCTGGGATGTGTTGAACCCTGTCCTCAGGCCTCATTGACACCAGGAGAGCCTGTAGACTTTGCTTCTTCCCTGGTACTCTTCCTGACCTGTGTGATCTTCATGAGGTTTTACATTTAAAAAGCACATAGTGCCGGGTAGCAGTGGCACACACCTTTAATCACAGCACTCGGGAGGCAGAGCCAGGCGGATCTCTGAGTTCAAGGCCAGCCTGGTCTACAAAGTGAAATCCAGGACAAGCACCAAAACACAGAGAAACCCTGTCTCGCCACCCCCCCCCCCCAAAAAAAAGCACATAGTTCCTAGAAGTTGGAGAAGGTTGTAGTATATTTTCTTAAGTTACAAACAAAAAGTAATTCATTGCAGTGAATTTCATTTGTGGTTTATGACCTCTTATTTTCTTCATTTTAGGACAAATTCTCCCTTGAACTCTTATCTGAAAGAGGTTATTCGGGAAAGAAGAGAGAAGAATGGGCAAAGAAGTGAACTTGTAGTTGAAATCTGTGGATGTGCCTGGTCTCAGCATATTTTTATGAAGTTGGTTCAGCCTGAATCACAATTTAAGAATTATTTGCTCTGCAGATGTCTCATTTTAAATAAATGTTGGAATTTCTGAATTCAAACTCTTATTCGGATAATTACTGAGTTCACTTTTCTGATAGAGTTTTCCAGACTTCTAAGATATTTTTAGTTGCTTCTTAACTACTTGGAGACAAGAGAGGCTGCTTTATCATCTCTTCATTGGCTGGATAACCAGCCAGGTTACTAAAGGATACAGCATATTCTACAAGCCAGACAGTCAGCTGTAGATTCCCCTTGTGGCTAGTGAGACACTGGGAAGTTATAACAAGACCTAAACTACAGCTGGAAGATGAGGGAAGAGGCAACCAGCACTGAACAGATGGACCATCAGCTTCCAAAGTGGCCAATGGAAAGAAGGGAAGGCTTATACCTGATGTCCCAGGACATGGGGCAGAGCCTTTCCCAACACTGCTCTACCTAGATTTATTTTACATCCTGCCATTTAGAAAGAAATGTGTATATCCAGTCTGGGCTTATATAACTTCTCTGTCTATGTACAGATGCACATGCCCCTGTGCTGATCAATATGTAGTTTAGAAAATTAAAAAATAAGGCATTGGGAAAAACCACAAAGACAAATACTTTCTTTTAAATGCCGCTTTGAGAACTAGGTACTGACTGGGCATAGTACAAATGCCTTTAATCCTAGCACTCAGGACGCAGGCAGGCCTGGTGTACATAGTGAGTTCCAGGACAGTCAGGGCCATGTCTCAAAAACACCAAAACCAACCCCCACAAACCTAGGTACTAATCAGCAAAGAGTTTTCAGATCATAGTCTAATTTAAAAACATAGCCATTCCTGCTGAGTTTTGAGGTTCTTTGGTGGAAGTAAGTGTTAGAACTGCAGTGGGCAGGGCAGGGGGAGGAATGCCCATTGTGCAGGAAGAGCTTCAGATGGTGGGGACATTTCCTGTTAAAATTCATAAAATGATCAAAACGTGCAGGTGCATATATACATTCTTTCACACACATGTTCAAGACGAGATTTATGTTGGCCTTTAACAACATGGTCCTAATGTATTTTAAAGTCAGATGTGCTAGGCGTGGTGGTATACTCTGGCAGTCCCATCACTTGAGAAACACAGATGACTGGCTCTTTGGTTTGAGATTAGCCTGGGTTATACAGTGAGACTGTTTCCAAAACAACCAAAAATATCTTAAAAGATTAGAAAATAATATCTTAAAAGATTAGAAGGCTAATTTATTTTCCAGGAAAACTTCCTCTGATCTTTGACCAGATTTTGAAACTCATCCTGAAATTTATTCTTGCCAGTTTGCCAATGAGGTAGAGCCTTCCTCAAATTGGTTTTGCTTATAGTAAAATGTTAATATTATTAACATTTAAGCTATTAAAGAAAAACTAATGGTAATCCCAGGAGGTGGACTTCCACAGAAGAGGTTTTGACTTAACAGGAAGGGAAGGTTCCAGGCTAGCCACGTGTTCACAGTTGAAAGTGTAGCACAACAATAGGGAAACCTCTGTTCTGGGGGAGACTTCCCCCAAAAAACCAAACTGCCAATCTACATCACTTGGGTACTGAATTCTAAATGAGAGCAAATATGCATGAGTTTCCTGAAAACCGCAGAATGCACTTACTGTTGATGGGGTTTGGTTTGGTTTTGAGATGGTCTCCCTGCATTGCTCTGGCTGGCCTGCAACTCACTATTTTGACCTGGTTGGTTCACAGAGATTCTCCCTCTGCCTCCCAAGTGCTGGGATTAAAGCCATGCACCACCACAACTGGCTTGATGTTTTCAGTGTTGTAAATGATTCTTTCTCTGTTTGTTGTGAGACTAAGTAGGACTGGATTCAGATCACTGGGAGACTGGTGGAAAGAACTTGTGAACAGATCAGTGCAGTCCTGCCCTTGGAAGAGGAGAGCCTTTGTGTTAGAGCTGTCCTGTCTGCAAGTCACTGTGGGCAATCAAACAGCTGAAGCCAAGTCACTCCAAGCTGATTCCGGGGTGGACCACATAAGCCTCAATTCTTTCCCCTCCCTCTTTTGTTTAGGAAAACCAACCTCTGTGCATCAATCGGCTCAACTCTAAGATAAAGCTAACGATAGGACATATCTTACAACAGTGTAAAGATGTCCTCACTGTATTATATGTCAAGACCTTACAGCACAGAATTATTTGGGGAAACACCAAATCCCATCAAAACTAACAGAAGTCTAATAACCAAGGCCCGAGGGGCTCTCTTCTAGGGTCACTCCATCATTCCCCTTGAATACCTGCCACTGAATGACGTTTCTATTGCCCAAGGAGGGATGAGGAGGAAGTGTATCTGTGTAGTGGCTTTGGTAAAGGTGGAACCCAGCTGCTTCCAGGTTTTGCCTGACAGTGTTCTTGGACTTCAGATATCACATCCTGGTAGTTTGCTTTGCACCATTTGAACCTGGCTTGAAATATATGGCCTTCCTAAATCTTGAAGGAAGCTGTATTTGTTACTGAGGTGTGGTCTATGCTCTGTTTTTATTTTATTTTTACTGAACTCTGAAAGTCCGTCTAAAACAGAGCTGGCTTAGGTTGCCTGTTCTGTCACTCACCCTTCCTGTTGCCAAAATGTGGGAAGTAGAGTAAGTCATTCTGGGACTTCAGACCTCAAATGCTGGCCTGAGTCCACATTGCATATTTAATGATAGTCTTTGTGTGTGACACCATATGCTCAATAAGGAGTCTTTTCTAACAATCCTGATAACTTGTGTTAAAGTTCTAGAATCTTAAAATATAGAGTATGGATTATAATGATTTTATGTATCTATGTAAGGACTCCTGCAAGGCTCTGTATTAATTCTAACCTGCTAAACAAAAGTAGAATAAAAACCCATCCAAAAGTCCAAAACCTACAGCCATATTAATCCTTCCAAAATCACAACCATTGTTTAAAAATAGAAGTATGTCAAATGGTTTTGAAAGTAACCATGGTGCTTGGAATTAAAAGGTTAAGTGAACATAAAAACTCACACCCGGGTCCTTGACACCCCAGTGGATGAGGAGCAGAGCGGTTTGCACTGTGTGTGTGACACCTTTTAGAGTCCAGCCTCCGGTGAGTATGAAAAGATGGATCAGGCAGCCATTTCAGAGCAGAGCTGTTGGCACTGTGCCTGGGACGCCCTTTAGAGCCCCGCCTCAGAGGTGAGTATGGCAGGATGGATCAGACTGCCTTTTCTTTAGAAAGCAGAATCCCTTTATTACAGGACTCAAATTCTGCCACTAGGGGGCAATGCACCACAACTTTGCGACTTCAAGGCACACTGCACTGGGGAAGATTTATCCATTTTGTCCCCTCACCAACTCCCTCTCTTTCATTTTTCAGGATGACAACACCTTGCAGGTTTATGGCCGTCAGGAGAATTTACTGCTAAGCTATATACTGATGTAATGAAATCTAATATATGCTTTGCCATGAATTATGAGATGTTATTTAGTTTGGGGATTTTATTACTTCAATCACTTATGACCATATTTCCTTTTATATGATTGCTCACTCTTTAAACATACCAGATGACTATACATGGAACACCTAATAAAGTCCATATATGTTAAAACATTGTTAAAATATAAATGTTTTAATGTATTTGCCATAATTTGTTTAAATTTTGATTATAGTGGGTGTTGGTATAAAAAGCATAGCATGGTGTCAGTGAGATGGATCGGTGGGTAAAGGTCCTTGCCACCAAGACTGACAGTCTGAGTTGTCACGTGGTGGAAGAAAAGAACCGAACCCACAAATTGTCCTCTCACCTCCAGGTACACACATGTGCACATGTACACACACATGTGAAAATATAGAAATAATGGTCTTAAAAGATCCATAGCATGTTAGGATCTGAAACCTCAGATCTGATGATTCATCTAAGTTAAATCTGGCTAAGAAATGTGCTTGTCTGTGTCGGGAATCATCAGGAGGAGCTGACTCATTACTAGGTAGTTACATTTTAGCCTATTTGCCAGAAAGCCTGTGGATATTTGAGTGTTTTATGACAAACTATTAAATAATTCTGGATTCTGACTAGATCTCCTACAGTAGAAAGAATGTATTATTTGCTTAACTTTGCATTTAATACATTTGCCTGTTTTGCATAAATGCCAGATATGTAATTTTAAAATAAACCCCTGTGAAACTTCTGGTAACATTACTCAATTGAATTAATGCTCTGTTAGGCTTCTAACTATTTCTTCTAATTTTACATACCTACAGATTGTATTTCTAATCCAAACCAGAAGGGATAATCATTTCTTTTCAGGAGTCAGCTTGCAGTGTCTTTTCTATGCATGTATTTAAATTTTGCTTCACCACTGAAGCTGGAAACTCAGATGTGAGGTCAAGGATTCAGCAAGGCTAACCTTTCCATTCACAGTTCTTCAGCTATGAAATGAAGGGACTTGACTACAGAGGCATTATGACTCGGTCCAGCACCTTTTGAGGTCGATGATTTAGTCTCTGAAATAACAATGTTGATGAAATACCAGCCTTGCTGCAAACATGACTTCTACATTGTCTCATTTATCTTCCTTCACTTTATTCTCCTGCTATGGATGATATTTGGCCCATGACATGGAGTAGAAAATTGGACTGTAAAGGTTCATTTAACACACATGAACATGTACACACAAATACTCTGGCACAAAAACTTCATTTTAAATCCACACATTGTGGTACACAAGTGTAACCCTGGCATTCAGGAGGCTGAGACAGGAAGATCTCCAGTTCAAGGCCAGCCTGGGATACATGGTAAAACTAAATTACCCAAAACAAACAAAACTGAAATTCATTTTACCCTGCTTCAGTATAGTTTTGTGGAGATTGGAGAGAGAACATGTACTCATTTATGTTCCCTGACAGGGGAAAACTAAATGTAGCACATTGTTTCTCAATTATGAATGTTTGGGCTGAATAATTTCTGGAGAGCTAGCTGGAACTATTGACTATTTAACAAAATCTTTGCCTTCTCTACACTAAATACTGTTGCCACCTTCTGGCTCTCAGTTGTTTTCTTTCTAGGAGCTGGAGAGATGCTTCAGTGGTTAAGAGCACTTGAT